GACTGATTTTGGTTAGTTTTTGTACGATGATTGATGATAATCATTTTCCAAATAATTTTGAATCACACTGTATATATTTAGATTTACTTATTAGATATTTTGAATTTAATAGAACTTATCAATAAATAACTATTAGATATTGATAAAATAAAATGAGAATAGATATAAAAAACTTTATTAGATCTTGTGAAACTTATTAAAGAATTGATAAATAAACTATAAAATAACTCTTGCATCCTATTAAAATTAGATAATTTTTTGATAAAATTATAATTAATCTTGTTAGATCTTATAAAGTAATCAAGAAAAGAAAATAATATATTGTTATAGTAATAGATCTATTAACCAAATAATTTAAAACAAAAGTAATTTCAAATAAAAAAAATTAATATTATTATCAAATTTATTTTTAAAGAAATAATTTATAAATATGAATATTTTAAGAAGTTATAATCTAATCAAGAAACTGAATTCATAACTCAAGTAATTAAAGAACTTATTACTTGATTTGAAATTAAATACAAATTTTTCTTACTATATTATTTACAAACTAATAAAATAATAGAATAATTTAATAGAACTTTATATAAAATACTTTAAAAATATTAAATAAATAATAGAATATATATATATTATTAATATTATTTATCTACAGAATATTTTAAAATAATATTATTAAATATGAAATTTTAATATTAGAAATTGATAATAATAATATATCAAGATAATATTATAACTTGATTATAATTTTCTGATTGACTGTTATAATTAATTATAATTTTCTGATTAACTATCACAAGTTATAATTAATTAAGATGACATCTTTAATAATATATAAAATATCTTTTTTTTTAAAAAAATAATTTTATTTTAGCTTTTTTTTAGTAAAGTAATATTTTATTTATTATTAAGTTAAAGTATAATAAAATAATTAAAATAATATAAAAAACTAATTTAGATTATTTTTTATTTTATATAAAAAAATTATAAAGATAATTTAGATTATTTTTTTATTTAATATAAAGATTAGTTAAAATTTGAATAATTTTTATTAGAAATAATTATTAATTTTTATATTAAGATATAAATCTTTTTGTATTGATCTATATAATATAATATAAAAAGCTAATTATTATATAATTATTAGTTGATTCAAGAATAAATAATATATATTACAAACTCTTATTAATACTTGAAACAAGAAACTTACTAAATTTTAGTTTTTAATCTTTAATTAAATAAAAAAATTAATTTACTATATAAAATTATATATTATTAGACTTTAACTTATTATATAAAGTTATATATTATTAAACTTTTTCTTTAATAAAATATTAAACAATTTCAAAATAAACTTATTATTATTATTTTTAAAATTAATCATTTTATTATATGAAAGTTAATTAATTTAATTTAAAAAAGATTTATTAATATTATTATGAATTATTAAATTTTAAATTATAAAGAATTAGTTTGTAATTTTGCTAATATTAAAGATTATCTTTTTTTAAGTTGCTTACTTGCTCTGTAAGATTAATTTAGCAAAGTTAATATAAATAGATTTTTATTCTTTTGTATTTGATTGCTTGATCTTAATATCAATCTGATTTTAGTTTTTCAAATTCTTCTATAAATTAATTATCATTTAAAAATTTATTTTTCTATGAAATATTAAAAGATCTTTTATTTTACTTAATATTATTCCAATATTTCTTAATAGTCAAGATACAATACTAAGTATGTTTACTTTTTTTTGACATTAATATTGATTTTTTACAATGAAAAAGAGTTTAATAGAAGTATATAGGATTTGAATTATCACCAGTAATAATGTTCAATAGTGAAAGAGTCTATAACATATAAATATGACTTAGTAAAAAAAAATGCAAGCTAAAAATCATGCATAAAAGCAAAGAACGGGAGCAAAAAATATATGTTTTCACATAATAATGACAATGGAAATTACATATATATTTTTTTAATAAATTAATTTATTTTTATCCTATACATAATATTATTGGTGGCATTATATTGTATGCTATATTATATTGCAAACCGAAATTTCAGCGGTGGCGCAGCATTTGATGTGACTAAGCTGGGCGCACCATAAAGCAGACAGTGAAGCACTTAAAAACAAGTTTTGTTTGATTTGGTTTCATTATTGAGAAATTATCTGCTGAGAATGTAAAAAATATTTATACATATATGATTCAAATTGATCTTTAATTTTAATTGCAGCTTAAAAAGCCGGTGATCGTAGATTATGATAAAGAATATCTTGTCTTTAATAATGATTGTTTCAAGAGAAAAATGGTACATGCATATATTATCAAATTGGAAGACATATAAAGTCGAGTTCCAAGAATCATTTTTCATCGAAGGAAATATGTCCATCGTGAAGTTGTCAAGAGTAAAGTTCTGTCCGTTGGATAAATTTATATTCATCTCATAATATACCTTCTCTTTTACTAATTAGTTTTGCCCGTGGAATATAAATTCGTAGCATTTAAAATACCATTAACACGATGATGATAATTATGTTGATGAACTATTTAAAAATTCTCATTAAATCATTTCACTCTAGCCATCGAGTCAAAAAATAAAATTAAAGCGATGACTATTTAATCATTACATAATTGAACGAATCAATGATAATGTTTCATTATCTTTTTTCATAATAATCACTAAATATATTTCTTGTATAGTTCACCAAATTCTGATACTTGTTGACGAGTTCGTGCAGCTCTTTGACAGGAGACGTGATAGGAATCGAAAGTATAGTTTGGATGTAAGAGAATACGACAGCATCAATAAATTTTGGTGAACTTATCATTGCAATTGTTGCGGCCATCGGATGAAGAGATGTAATGAAAATGATTAATCAAATTTATCTTTAAGATTACTCATTATAAAATGAAAATATACCTAGATCCGAAAAAGTATTTATTGTCTTTTAACATGTCAGAAAATGCTTTTAATGCATCCGCCGCTTCTTCATATATCTTTAAAAAATTGAAACAAGATTACCAAAATATTCCTTTTACTTTAATTTTTCAGATGCTATATAAATACCTCATTAGTATTCAATATAGGTTTCCTAGCCAACAAATCACCGATTACAGCTTTTTTTGCTTTGTACATGAGAATAGTGTCAAGTGGTTTCGGGTAATGACCACCGTATTTATGAAATGTCACTTGTTCGTAAATGGAAGGCTCACACCACAAGTAAAAGAGCTTTGATGAATACATTAGGTAATAGTGATTATAGCGATGATAAATTAGAGCCTGAATAAATTTAGCTTATTGTCTTTTGAAATAAGAAATCAATGATACCAAAGCATTACGCAATTTCGTGTTCGCTAGGGAGATGAAAGCTGCCTCTTCTTGATGTTCTGATGTAGACGTTTCCGCGTCGGTTTCCTAGTGAAAAGACGAAATTCGAGGGGAAAGTTAAATTCTCGTTCATCATCAAAGACAAGCACGAAACAAAATAGTTACCTCATCTTTTTTTTGTTTAATAAATTCGAGGATTTTATCAGAGGCAAAAATGTCTCCAGTTGGCGTATACAGAAGGGGAAGCTTGCCTCGAAGAAAAACGAAAAAAAAGTAATCGTCCATCAAAATTATTACTATTTTCCATTGAGTATTATCATGGGTTGTTGAATACCTGACGGTGATATGAGAGGTTCGTTCACATTTTTTACTTCAAATTTAATGTCATTAAATAGTAAATACGTCTAAATAAAAGATTTAATAAAACTTTACTGACCAAGACACGTGTTAAGTAATTAAGAGTATATACTTTGTTTCATATTACCTGCCAAAGTAAACATTCTTGGTCGAAAGAAGCCTTTTGTCGACCTCCTCCCCACCCTGGTCCCCAAATATATAGTATCGGTTCATCAAGGTCCGGATTTTTATATATAGACTTATTAATACGGAGTGGAAAGCGTGAGAGGAAACGAAGAAAACTTTCTTGTATAGGATTTCTGTGTTCCGTTGCATCAATTTCGCTTGCCATTATTTCGCGAATTTAGGTAAACAAAAAAAAATTACGTGTGTAATATATAATATATCGATATATATATATATATAAATCAAATGACTACTGATAAGCAAATCAGAAAATAATGGAGTATCAATTCATTACTTCTTTTGTCAACAACCCGAAAAGCCGCGCCTTTCGCATAAGCAATCTCGACAATCTTGACAATGATGCCCAACAGTCTTCTAAACGTTCTCCGAACAACTTTGACCCTTTTTCTCATGGTTCGAACCTTGAAAACCCTATAATAGCTTCTTCAGACGAAACAAATTATCAGAATTCACAACGAAAAGGTGTTAGTTCGAAAGAGCCAATAATTATTTCTTCAGACGAGGAAGACGACGGCAATAAAAACCACTACGAGACAGACGAAGAGTCTGGTCTGTTTTCGCCTGACCCAATTAATAGAACCTCCACTAATAGTACAGCTGAGGAATATTTCTCTCTATTTTCTCCTGACACAAATAATCGAGCTTCTGCTAATTCTGCTAATGATACAGCTGAGGGATATTTCTCTCTTGAAGACTCTGAAAATGAGGATGACTTGGAGAATGCATTGTTTGGGAGTTCTCAGACTCCTAGCAAAATAAAAACTTTGTCTAACAAAAGAAAGAGTAACAGTGAATTTCAAACATCTCGTGTTATTGCTAATGATAGAACTCAATCGGAAATCATTCCGTTCCGCTATGACGAAGTGATACGGAGTAAAAAAGAACGTCGTCAATTGATGGCAGTTTCATGTCCTGATTGTTCAAAGGTAATTATGCGTGCGTATCTAATATACGATATACCGATCTATAAATTAAATTACGATCACAGAAATTGAGAATTAATATTTTCGAATTTCTAGTATTTTGAAATGACTAGCTCTACTCGACTTCCCGATCATGTAAAACCTGTTTGTCGTCATCCAAATAAGAACAATGACGATGATAATGACATCAATAACTTGGATACGACAAAAAATGATCGCATCCAACTTCTTTCACGTCACAGACATCGATTCTCACGTGCGCCCACTCCACCCGGATTCTGGACGATTGGTTTTCCATCTTTATCCGATGAAGAGAAACGAAAAAATGAACTGGAAGAATATAAAAGGAGAAGAGAGGCACGAAAATTAACTGAGGATGAATGGGAGAGATCTAGAAAACGACGAAATGCATACCGTACCAGAGTTTATGGAAGTCATATTTCAAAGAATTATAAATCTTCATCATCATCAAAGTGATTATTTGTTTTTATTTATTCTGCATTTGAATCTGAATATTATTTATTAGTACGGAAAGTTGAATATAGTGATATTTGATGATTTGTTTGACATATTTCAATAAACTGAATTCCCATTTGATGATGCATTATGACATAATAATTAAATCAAATTTTGATTGGCGAATCAAGTATCGATATATTGTGACTAATATGTAAAAACATTTCGCATTAAAATGATTCAACCATACAGAATCCCCGAAAATCGAATTGACAAACGAAATCAGCACCAAATAATAGCAGGTAACATTTCTCCGCGCGTTCTTGCTACTTTTATAACTTATCTAAAATACGCTCTACCTTTATCAACGAATAAGCGACCCGTTTTATAATCTCGTCATGTTCCTAACAATTCTTTTAAATATAGGAGCATTAATAATGATCAAGATTTGTTATCGCCGTTTTCATCACGACCGTGCCTTTACTTTCACCGTCCACGACGTTAGAAGTAGTAGCCAGAAACCGTTTTAACCGTAGAGACACGCTCACGATCAACTAGTAATTATAGAACAACTTCGGAAATTATATCAAATTCTGCTGGAATTCAACTTCAAAGTGAGTTCATTTTGATTCCTGATGATGAAAAGGAAATATCAACGACAAATAATAGATCTTTTATAATATTGGAAGCCATCGAAGTACCAGACAGTGATAACGAGAAAGAAGGTGACGGAATCTCTCTATAGAAAATTCGAGGAAAAATAATTTTTTTGAGTTTTTTTGTGATAGGTGGCGTTCAGGGAATCTGCTAGTTTTCCTCTTTGAGCCACAAAACCAATGTTGGGGCACAGTCAATCTGCTAGTTTGCCTGATGTTTAAGTCTATTATGATAAGATTTTTTACAATAAAAATGGTTCAGAAAGGCCCAAATTAGTCCATCAGCATCTTATTTCAAAATCGAGATATTCAAAAATTGAGAGTGAGCTTTAACGAAGTTTTATTCAAGGATCATGTCACGCCTGCACTTGAGAGTAAGTCCATTGTTTTATTTTATTTTTTCTTTTTATCGAGCCTTGTATTAGCAATTTTAATATGTGTAGTCCAAAATTTTCCTCTGATGGGATGAGAATAAGATGAAAATTAGAATATAGTGGAGAATACTAATAATCTAAGGAAAAAAATCTGATCGACAGCTGGCTCTAAGTTGGTATAAAGAACGTAAACGTCAATTAAAAAAAATTCATATCTTGCGATTTGATTGGTTACCCCTTGAAGTCAACAATAACTTGCCAACCAATGGCACAATAAGTTCTTTACTTGATAAATCCAGCTTACTTGAACTCCCCAAATTAAGAAATTCAAACGCCTCATGGTAATGAAATCACTAAAGGTAAAAAAGACATTTGAGCCGAAGATGTTTTTTACAATTTGATGAATCCAGTCTACTTATCAAGAAATATTGAGAGAGAATCCATACGCCTCATGATAATAAAACATTAGAGATAAGAAAAAGATATATTGTGAAATCTGAGAAACCCGAAATGTAGTTGAAGGGTCCAAAGTTCTTTGCAACCAGACGGCTTGTACTCCTACAAATCAAAAAATATTGAAGGCTAACAAAAGATAAAAAATGGATATCTGATAAATTCTGTTAATGAGAACGCTATCACTGATTGTATTAACAGAAGATGAGAATATCTTGATTTCTTAATCGAAATTAAAATAGTTATTGTGTCATCACTGTAAAATTTCGAGAATTGATTAGTATATACAGAAAAAATTGTGCAATAGATAAGGTCTTAGATTATTGTTATTTTCATCTTTTTCATAATGAGATGATGAAAGAGTAGTAACTGCTATATCGTTAAGAAATATTTTTTTTTGATGGAAGAGGAAGAAAAATAATATATTAATTATTTTACTAGCGCTTTTGATTTTTTTAGGTCATTGTGAATTGTGGATTCTTTAAAACACGAGATACTGACAAAATCATAATATAAACATGATTTAATTTTTTATGTACCAAACAGAGATAATAATAATTGTAATCATGTATTGAATACACGAATTATGATCTCGTTGATTTCTGAGTCTTTGACCCCATCTTGTAAAAAGCATTTCAGTTGAATTCGATAAAGGATGTTAAAAAATTCATATGTAATTCCAGCCCCCGTGCTCTGAAATTCGTGATCAAGTCCTTGAACACATGATTTAAGTTCTTATATAATTTGATGAACTTGATAAGTTTGAATATTGTTTTGAAATGTGGTATTTTTCCCTTAATAATGAACCAAATTTGATATCGTTAGATTTGCCTTGACTAGAAGAATTTTTTATTTATTAAGTGAATTTAATCTGCAGTGTAACTTGTGTAACTTAATATTGACCAATAGAAATACACTAATTAAACTAATTAAATAAAAAATTATTGTCATATCCAACATAATTAATTTATCACCTGAATAAAGTTGATTGGTTAATATTTTCACGTGACTAGTTCTTATAGTCAATTAATTTATTATCTTCTCGTCGTCTTAATCAACTTATTTCTCGCGACATTTAGCCCGGTCATTGCATCCCCGGCTGGAATCATAGCAAAATCAAATATTTCACGGGAATTCGCACCGTTTTTCTTAATATTCTCACCGGCAGCCACATAACCATATGGTCGATATTCGTTATGTGCAGCTGTATCCACCCCTGTGATTATCCCATCCATAGCAGCGCCAGCCACAGTACTTAAACTAGCCGCGCCGAATGGTCCACCTATAGCAAACCCACCAATACCGGCAAGTGTGACCCCAGTGGTTCGTGATGCGGCCTTCATTGCTGCATCACCACGATCTACATCTCCAACTATATAATGTGCAGCGCCGATTGCATGGCCAAGCAATGGTGTAGTAGTTGCCGTTGATACTATCTCTTCAGCAAAGTATTCTTGTGTCTTTCTAGCCGCCTCTTCATCACCCGATATTACTTCGACTAGACTACGCGCTTGTGAGACGATTGGAGCTCCGCGAGAAAAGTTCTCTTGCGTTCTACGTGCTCCCTCCGCGTCGCCTCCAATCACCTGAACTAGTGATTTTGTTTGAGAGACAACTGGAATTGAATCAACATTACCCATTTTTATGTGGATAATTTTGAAATCTCGGTTCTATGTCGCAGGTCATTTTATATTGTTTCGCGTCTTTTCAGTTACACAGTTACATGCACAGATATTTTCTAACTAGTTATTGTTAGGAATAAGGAATTCTTTGTTTTTAAAGTTATTCATGAACTCTTTTGTTATAATAACGCACATGCATGCTGACTCGAATAGAAATACATGTTACGACCATCTAAATAAGCTTTCTTTAATGTAATGCATGTCGTTTCCTAGCACAGAAACGATTCACAAACACGAATGGAAAATAAAAAACTGCATAAGCTATTTTCGCGAAAATAAGGTGTTGACATTATTACGTAATATCGGTATACTAATTAAGTGTGGCTTAAGATATTTCAACATAATAAATGTCAGTCCCCTTAACGTCCAAATATCCTTACATGGTTCAAAACTTGATAAATCGCGTTTCTTTTTAATGTAAATTCGACCTCGGCACAGTCTCAAACTCTTTATGTATATTTTCGTTATTCTTGAACCTGTTTTCAATCGATTTGTGATATAAAGAAGCATGACAGTTACAGCTTCTGTATAGGAAATTACCTCAAGTTTAAACACAAAAGTATAACTTCGTTTTGCGCTTATGTTCACTTGTAAATATAGCAAAAAACTTGCATGCGAAACAAAAAAAATAATGATTGCATTTTATATTAAATAACTGCCCTCTAATAGCACATCAATGAGCAATGTTCTTGAGACATGAGAATTAGTATGATATTAAAAAATAATTGATAATTGAATATTATTATGTATATTTTTGAGACATCAAGCTTCTAAGATCAATTATTTAATAATTTACAGTATGTTCTCAAGAAAAATATATTTCAAATTTAATAATATTTACTTTTCTTATTTATATGCAAAGGTATTTAATTATAGTTAATTAGTAACTGGAAAACTCAAAAAAGATGACTATAAAAAAAGATAATTATAAAGAGATTTGATTATATATTATACAATCTCTATATATATATGGATTGGTGCAAAAAGATTTATATTTCAGATAAAGATTAATAGATT